TGTTCATTCAGCTCCACACCTTGTTATCTCAGACTCCAGCATCGGCAGTTCCTACTATCTCTCAGAAAGCAAATGTGTTCCTTATTTTCTAATTGGATGGTTCTTAAGTGTTTGGCCAAGATCCTTTCTTTTTGCCTACACCAACCTTTTGATAGCTAGTGCTGAAAGAAAGCAGTGTTGAAAGAAAGTACTTTTATTTTGTTGGCCCAATGATTTAACTCTGCCTTCCCAACTTCAGCATCGTCTAGAACTAGTTTAAAGAATGGGATCACCCATTTACCAGAAAGATGAAAATTCTTTTCTCATAGAGGTTCATATGTTTATTTGAACTCTCTTCCTGAAAAGCTGATAGAAGCAAAGCCTTTGAATATTTTGCAAGACAAGAGATAGATTCTTGATAAGCATGTAAGTGAAAGGTTATGCAGGGTAAGCAGAAATGGGGAATAACATGATCCAAACAGCCATGATCGTATTAAATAATGGAGCAGGTTTAAGGGGCTGAAAGGCCTACATGTGCTTCTAATTGAGATGATTACATGTTCCTGGAGGTTAATCTTCCATTCTGCATGAAGTAAAATTAATCAGCTCTTTGAAAACCATTCCGTGTAACTTTAACCCAAAGACGGTTAGGAAAATCATGGAGCGGTTTGAAATAATTTGGAAAATCCCAGGCCCAAATGCATCAATTGCCCATGGACAAAATCACTTTCGGTGAGACAATGAGAAAAGGTGAAATGTTGGAAATTCTCCACCGTTCTGGGCCCTTTGACTGCAGTACCCTGCAGTTCCAGACATTGCCACAAACACCAATTGTCTTTGGGCAGAACACCAACTCCCAAGTCCAGACTTTGTGTGGAGGGATGTGAGCCATACAGGTGACTCAGACAGCCACCTTTTGGAGGTGAGCTCAATCCTGGAGTGTGAACTTCTTCCATTAAAAATCTTTATTTCTATTGATTCCCACACAGGATCTTCCGACCGGCTCCTACAACATTGGTGAAAGGAGGGAGGATGCCCTGCAGAGACGACGCAAATATATTGAGGTTACCTCGCGATGAAATCTCGTGCAAAATTCCTTCCCCATCCCTACCCCTGACCTCTTCCCCACACCACAAACACCACAAGGGACTGCCTTTTGAGGAGAAGATGTGTAGGTGAGGCCTGTTACTCATTGGAAGCAGAAGAGTGAGCAGTGACCTTATTGAAAGGTATAATATTCTTGGGGAACTTGCTAGAGGGAGAGTCACAAACCAGAAGGCACAATGACAGAATAATTAATTGGTCCATTTAAGACTAAGATGAGGAAGAATTTCTTCTGAGTCTAGTGAATCTGTGAAAGTCTTTACCACAGAGGGCTGTCAAGGGTGGGTCATTAAGTATGTTCAAAGTTGAGACAGACAGATTTTTCAACAGGAGGGGAATTAAGGGTAATTGGGAGAAGGCAGGGAAGTGGAGTTGAGGATTATCAGTTCAGCCACAATCTCATTGAATGGCAGAGCAGACTTGATGGGCCAGATGGTTTCTTGCGGTCCTAGGAAGAGCAGTTGCCATTCCAAGCTGTGATGCATCCAGATAGAATACTTCTATGGTCCATCTGTAGAAATTGGTAAGAGTCTTTATGGACATGCTGAACATCAAAGCCCCCTGAAGAACGAGAGATTTGTTGTGGTTTCTTAATCGTAGTGTCAATGTGGATGGAGCGAGACAGTTTGTTGGTGATCATCAATCCTGGGAACTTGATGCTCTGAACCATCTCCACCTCAGCACCATTGATACAGACAGGGGTGTGCCCTCCACTCCACTTCCTGAAGTCAATGAGCAGCTCCTTCATTTTACTAACATCGATGGAGAGATTGTCGTCTTTGCATCATGCCTCAAGCACTCTGTCTCCTTCCTGTACTCCGTCTTGCCATTGTTTGAGATCCGACCTAGAACAGTGGTGTCATCAGCAAATCTGTAAATGGAGTTGGTGCAGAAGTTGTGTGTGTATAAGGAGTATTGTAGGGGGCTGAGTATGCAGCCTTGCAGGGCACTGGTTTTGAGGATTATCATGGAGGAGCTGTCCTTACTGACTGCCGTCTGTTGGTCAGGAAGTCAAGAATCCAGTTACAGCAGGAGGAGCAGAGACCTAGGTCCTGGAGTTTGGAGATGAGTTTGTTTGGAACTATGCTGTTGAAGGCAGAACTGTAGTCAGTAAATAAGAGCCTGACACAGGTATACTTTTTATCCAGATGTCCCAGGGATGACTGTAGGGCCAGGGAGATGATGTTTGCCATGGACCTGTTGCGCCTGTAGACAAATTGCAAAGGATCAAGGCAGTCTGGGAGGCTGGAGTTGATGTGAGCCATGACCTTGAAGCACTTCATGATTGTAGATGTCAGAGCCAGCAGGCGACAGTCTTTGAGGCACGCTGCGTGATTTTTCTCTGGCACTGAGATGATGACAGTCTTCTTGAAGCAGCCGGGGACTTCAGATCATACTCCCGCTAGTCGGTCAGCAAAGGACCTGAGTGCACAGCCGGGGTCTCCATCTGGGCCAATGGCTTCCCAAGGGTTCACTATTAGGGAGGCTGATCTAAAGGTGCAGGTACATCCGAGACTGATGGGATAGGTGACATTGTTTCACTGCCTTTCTGTTCAAAGCGAGCGTAGAATGCATTGGATTCATAGTATATGGCTGTACTGTTGCTCGTGATTCTGTTTGACTTCACTTTGTAGCCCGTTACGTCATATAAGCCTTGCCAGAAAGAATGGATGTCTATGTGGTTGGTCTGGGTCTCAAGCTTAGTTTGGTATTGCGTCTTGGCGTCCCTGATGGCCTTAGGAAGGTTATACCTGTGTTTCCTGTATTGGTCGGGATCGACTGACTAGAACGTCTCAGACCTGGACTCCAGTAAGGGGTGGGTCTCCCGGTTCATCCATGGTTTCTGGTTGGAAGCAGTCAGATTAACTTCTTGAGCACGTAGTCACCTACACACTTACTAACAAAGTCTGTAATGGTGGTGCCATACTCATTTAGGTTGGGCACTGAGTTCCTGAATATGGACCAGTCCACCAACTCTAAGCAGTTCCATAGAAGCCCTTCAGTTGCCTCAGACCAATACTGCACTACTTTATGTACTGGGTTATCACACATCAATTTCTGCTTGAAAGCTGGGGAAGGAGCACAACTTTATGATTTAATTTTCCAAAATGCAGATGGGATTTGGAGTGGTAGGCGTCTTTGATGGTTGTGTAGCAATGGTCAAAGATGTTTGGACCTCTGGTGGGTCAGAGATGTGTTGGTGGTATTTTGGTAGCGCATTCTTGAGGTTGGCCTGGTTGAAGTTACCAGCTATGATGAACTTATGGTCTTTAACACACTTCTAAAGCAACATTCTCCTGCCCTAGAGATAGTAGGATTTCTGATGAAGGGTCTAGGCCCGAAACGTCAGTCTTCCTGCTCCTATGATGCTGCTTGGCCTGCTGTGTTCATCCAGCTCTACACCTTGTTATCTCAGATTCTCCTGCCCTAAACATCTTTCCCATGTAAGAAGGAAGCTGACTTGTAAGCAGCCAATACAGAGAGGACAAGACTCGAAGACTCAGCATGGTACAGCACGGATGGAGACCATTCAGCAGAAAGAACACAAAAGCATAGCATATGAGTTAAGAGCAGGAGTAGGCTTTCAGCCCCTCAAGCTTGCCCTGCCATTCTATAAGGTCATGACTGGAGGGTTCAACTAAGGCATTCAAGATAGCGATAGATGATTGGTAGCAGGTAATTGCTAAATATAAACACAAATTAGACCAGAGAGGGATTAACCCTTCAGCTTAAATAGCAATTCACTGTTTCTTATTTGAGAACATTGCACAAAGTCAATATCTACCCCAGCCCAACTATCCCCTTAACACTGCATCTGAATACCTCTCAACCCATTAAGTGGGTTCTCAAAACAGCATAGAAAGTAGAAGCACAAGGAGTCTATTCAGCCCTTTCAGCCTACTCCGCTATTCAATGCGATTCAAACCCAGTCCTTTTTTCCATTTTCTCCCAATACCCTTTGATCCCTTAAGCCCGAAGAAGTATATCCAACTTCTTCCTGAAAACATTCAATGTTTTTGCCTCAGCTGCTTTCTATGGCAGAGAGTTCCACAGGCTGACTATTCTCTGGGTGAAGACATTCCTACTTATTTCAATCTTAAATTATCTAGTCTTATTTGCCAGCATTTGGCCTATATCCCTCTAAACGCTTCCTATGCATACACCCATCCAGATCCCTTTCAAATGTTGTAATTGTGCCAGCCTCCACCCCTTCCTGTGGCACCTCATTCCATACACACACCACCCTCTGCATGAAACGTTGCTCCTTAGATTCCTTTTAAATCTTTCACCTCTCACCTTAAACCTATGCCGTCTAGTTTTGGACTCCCCCACCTTGGGATAAAAACCTTGGCTATTCACCCTATCCATGTCCATTGTGATTTTATAAACCTCTTTATGGTCATTTCTCAGCCTCATAACCTCACATTTACCCTGTTATACTCCATCTGCCATGTATCTGCCCACTCACTTAACTTGTCCAAATCACACTGAAGTGTCGCTGCATCCTCCTCACAGCTCACCCTTCCACCCAAACTTGGAGATTTGCATGTAGTTCCCTCATTTCAATCATGAATGTACATTGTGAATAGCTGGGATCTAAGCGTTGATCTGTGTGGTATACAACTACTTACTGCCTGCCATCTGGAAGAAGACCCATTTATTCTTACAGGGATAGTCTTTGTTTCCTGTCTGCCAGGCAGTTTTCTATCCATGTCAAATCCACCCTGATTTTACAAGCTAATCTCCTGAATGGGACCCTATTGAAAGCATTTTGAAAGTTTAAGTAAACACCATCCACCAGCTCCCCCTTATCAATTTTCCCCCTTGTCCCTAGGGATCTGCTAGACTTAAGAAAATTCAATCTATCAGAAATGTTTCTTCACATATTTCTCTTGATAGAAGCCAATGGAACAAGCAAGTGGTGATCAGAAGGACATCCCCTCGTACCTAAGGGAGCTTCCAACCGAAGGTGAGTACAGTGACTGTGGGTCATGAGCAGGCTGCTGTATTGATAGTACACAGTTGAGGAGAATACACTGGTATTGCAGTCATCCAGAGACCCAGGTTAATAGTCTGGGGACATGGCAACTGGAGACACTAAAATTCAATTAATAAACCTGGAATTTCTCAGGAATAGCTCTGTCCCCTCAAAAGGCTTTGGATATGGGGTTCAACTGGAACTTGATTAATTTTGCAGAATGGAATTTTGTTGAGTAATGATGTCAAGAGATATAGAGCAAAATTGGGGAAAATGGATCAACTACTAAGTTATTGTCAGGTGGAACAGGCTCAGTGGGGGCTGAATAGCCTCCTCCTGTTTCCATGTTCTAATGTATTGTCCTCAAACATATTTGGCGCAAGATCAGAGCAGAGTAATCAATAGTTATCTCATGTAAAAGATGGAGATGAGCATGAGGATTTTCAGTTTCATTCTAAATTGTTTTCTGTGGGTTCACTGAATCACAGAACTGTTACAGAGGCCATTCTACCCATCGTGCCTGCACTGGCACTTCAGTAAGCATCATTGCCTAGAGCCAGTCTCCTGACTTTTACACAAACTCTTGCATAGTTTTCTATCCCAATGATCACCCAATACTTTATTGAATGTCTCAATTGAACCTGCCTCCATCTCATTTTCAGAGAATGAATCCCCCCAACTACTCACTGTGTGATTAAATTTTTTTTTCTCAGGTCCCTTTTTTTTTGCAAATACCTTTAAATCTATGTCTGTCTGAAGTATATCTGGGTTGACGTGATCACTGGGAGCATGCAGGAAACTGAGTTATCCTGCACTTTACCTCCATTGCATTTAGGGCCAGAAATGTCCATCCCTCCTTGTACTGGGTTTGTTGGAGTGCGGGAGGTGGGGGATTCACAGGTGGGGAGGGTATAAGTCAGGGGCCAAGGTGGTGGTATTGCCCTAGAGATATTACTCATGCTGGCAGATTGAAGGAGCAGGCATCCATTGGGAAAACCTGGACACCTTGCTCTGCTTTGTGTTTTTGCATCTTGTACTTAATGAAGGACATGCTAACCCACAAAAAAGGCCTTTATCTCCCCACACTCCAAAACCCATGCCAGTCCCATGATTAGAATCATCCTACAGTGTTGAAAGAGGCCATTTGGCCCATTGAGTCTGCACTGACCCTCCAAACAGCATCCTGCCAGACCTCTCCCCCATCCCTCCTACCTACCTACCCTATCCCCATAACCCCACATTTCCCACAGCCAATCCACCTAACTTGCACATCCCTGTGACCTACAGGGCAATTCAGGATGGCCAATCCACATGACATGCATATCTTCAGAAAAGCACACAGACACAGGGAGAATGTGCAGACTCCACGCAAACAGTCACCCAAAAGCTGGAATCGAACCCAGGTCTCTGGTGCTTTGAGGCTGCAGTGCTAATCACTATGCCACCATGCCACCCATACTCAGAGGCACATCTATGCTGGGCATCTATGCAGTGTCATAGAGGTGTACAGCACGGAAGCAGACCCTTTGGTCCAATTCATCCACGTCGACCAAATATCTGAAATTAATGAAGCCCTATTTGCCAGCATTTGGCCCATATCCCTCTAAACACTTCCTATTCACATACCCATCTAGTTGCCTTTTAAATGTTATAATTGTACCAGCTTCCACCTCCGTGAAAATGTTGTCCCTCAGGTCCTTTTAAAATCTCTCCCCTCTCACCTTAAACCTATGCCATCTAGGTTTGGACTCCCCCCACCCCAGGGGAAAAGACCTTGGCTATTCACCCTTTCATTGCCCCTTATCATTTTATAAACCTGTATAAGGTCACCTCTCAGCCACTGACGCTCCAGGGAAAATAGCCCCAGCCAGATCAGCTTCTCCCGATTGCTCAAACCCTCCAACCCTGGCAACATCCTTGTAAATCTTTTCTCAATCAATTTTTTTAACCTCTTTTTGACCAATGACCACAGGCAGCTACTCATGATGCCAGGTTGACCATTGTCACCTGCCCTTCTCCATTTAAAGGTTACTTCCCATTTCTTCTAAGTACAAAACCTTCTTAAGTTCCCAAATAATAATACACCGATAATAGGGTACATTTTATGCCAGATCAATTGTTGAAGCAAGTTCATTGTGCATCATGACCTTTGTGTTTTGTTGCATATTTCCTCTTTGTTTTCCCACATGACAAATATGGAAAGCTAATTACTGCTGAAATAGCTGTTAAATTAAATCTCTTGCAACATAGTAAATATATAGGAAAATTCATTTGTTAGAGGACATCAATTTCCAACAACACTGCCTGGGTAACACAGTGCAGAGGCTTGTACTGAATTGTGGACAAAGCTTTGCTCTGGAACCTTGGAAAACATGGCCTTCCGATTCAGAAATTTGCATTTGGCCAAAAGTCCTTTACCAGATCTACCCCTCCATCTGTTTTGAATCCAGCAATTCTCTCTGCACCATCAGACATTCAGGATTACTGAAGGGTTGGTGTCTTCCAGCCAGAGTGCCCTTGGAAATCTGTGGTCTCAGTGTTGGAATCGATTTGACAACGAAAGGTCTCATTCATGGCCAAAGGCACTATGCTGTGTGAGGGCCCTTAACTCCACTGGGGGGAGCCATTGAACCACAATTTATGTTTTACTTTGGAAAGTTGTTTGTCGGAAAATTCCTCGGATTCCCAGCTCCTCTGGGTCTGGGCCAGCAGGATCCAGGGTGCCTTGGATCTGTTTAATTTGATTCCAGGCTCGGGGTTAACAAATTAAGAGTTAATGGGGATTAGTTTGAGTCTTCTAACAGCCCACACTGTGTTGAGGAATGCACAGGGCAAGTTAGAACTTGATAGAAGGGTACAGAATGTAGTGGGATGTGAGGGAAGTCCCTTTCTTATTTCCTTTTCATGATGTGGAGGTGTCGGTTTGACTGGGGTGGACAAACTTAGAAATCACATGACACTAAGTTACAGGCCAATGGGTTCATTTGAAATCACAAGCTTTCAGAACGCTGCTCCTTTGTCAGGTGAAGTGTGGTCACTCCTTTTCTGCTCCTTTATCACTTCACCTGATGAAGAAGCAGCACCCTGAAAGCTTGTGATTTTAATTAGACCTGTGTGACTTCTAATTTTACTTATTTTTTCAGTAAGGCTGCCTCACAGATCTGAGATAGACTGATATTGTCCAGAAAATACTGTGTGGAATGGGAGAGAAACATAGAATCTGTCTCTTAAATTGACAAAATTACACATTAACCCATAAAATTCAATCTTTCTACCAGTGGAGGTGGATTGTAACCGGTCAGTGCTGCAGTGGGGGAAGGTGGCCAGGATATTGTGTGAAAGTCTCCAGAGTATGGTCTGAATTCCCAAACTTTAGATCAAGGCAATGTAGGAAATAAGAGCAGGAGTGGTCTATTCAGTCTTATGAGCCCGCTGTACCAGTCTGTAAGAGGCTGACCCTACACTTTCCTTGAGGATACAGCATGCGTGAGTTAATACAGAGAAACTGGTAGACATAGTTTATTTGGATTCCCAGAAGCATTCGATAAATGCGCCACGTAAGAGGTTATTGCATAAGATTAGAGCTTACAAGATTGGGGTAATGTATTAACATGGATGGAAGATTGGTTAGAGCACAAAAGACCAAGTTAAGATCAGTGGATCTTTTTCAGATTGGAAAGATGTTGTTAGGGGAGTGCCATCCTAGGGCCTCGGTTGTTTATTATCTATATCAATGACTTGGAGAAGGGGGCAGAGTGTAAAGTAGTGTAATCGCTACACATTAGAAATGTATATTATTGAGCACCAGACGTAAGTGAAAGTCAGGACCAATATAGTAAAGTAATGCAGGTAAACCAAAGTAGGGTAAGAGAAGGAGAGTAAAGTTAACAAAGTAAGTCAAAGACTAAGCATGGTATAGTGGTGGGGGGAGCTCATGTGTTCTGGAGTCTGGGTATCCTTGTGCATGAAAGTGTTAGCATATGGCTGCAGTAAATAAGAAGAAAATATTAGTCTTTATTGGTAAGGGATTGAAGTTTAATAATAGGGAGGTCTTGTTACAACCATACAGCATTTTGATAAGGCCACACCTGGAATACGTGTACAGATTTGATCCCCTTATTTACAAAAAATGTTACGCAAGCTTTGGAGGCAGTTCAAAGACATTCACTCGGCTGATTCCTGGGAGGACTTAACAAGATCAGCTTAATTGGCAGGACTTTTATTCATTAGGGGTTAGAAAAATGAGGGATGATCTTATTGAAACACACATGATTCTGAAGGGGCTTGACAGGCTGAATGTTGAGAAGATGTTTCGCTAACAAGGGGATATAGTTACAGAATGAGGGGACACTCATTTAAAACTGAGGCATGAAGGAATTTCTTCTCTCAGAGGGTAGTGAATGTCTGCAATTTTCTACCCTACATACTTGTGGAGACTAGATGACTGGAAGTATTTAAAGAGGAGGTAGATAGGTTTTTGAAATATCAAGGGATTGAGGACTATGAAGAATTGACTTGAAAGAGGAGTTGGGGCCTCGCGCAGATGAGCCATTAACTTATGGAATGGTGGGGAAGGCTTGAGGGTCTGAACAGTCTACTCCAGCTCCCGTTTCTTATGTTTTTATGCTCCTTCCCGTTTCCCATAACTCCGACTCTCCTTTAGCTCGGCAATCTGTCTTACTCACTCATGAATGTACTCTGGGGCAGAAAAGTCTCATGATTAAGGGCCCCTCTGGAGAGGAAGATTTCCTCCTCGCCAGCCTTGCCCTGATGCCACCTACATCCCCATGAAATGACAAAACAAACAATGAACTCAAAGCATGGACATCTTTCTGCCAATGACTACCATTTGGTTGTCACCAATATCTGTATCTGTGCTGTCTGGAGATTAATTTCTGATGATACTTCCCTCCATCTACATAATTGTAGAAAAAGTTTGCAAAGTAATCGATTCTATGTCTGGAGGGAATTGATAAACACAGCTGAGAGTG